GTGTGCCACTGCACTCCAACCTGGGAGATGGAGTTAGACTCCAACTCAAAAAAAGAAAAAAGAAAAAAGAAAAATACTGTATGTGGGTATATAAGTGAAGGAATATATCCCAAGAATAAAATTGTAGCAACCTAAGCACTAAGAATGTGCCCAGTTCCCTGAAGTTTACCTCTATCTGCTCTATGTGAAAAATAATATCTAGTTAAATATCTTTCAACTTGGCCCTTTATATTAAAACATGCATGGGGGAGATGCAATGTAGGACAAAAGAAGTGGACAGGGGAGGCTCCTCAAATTGCTATTATTGAAGAGGATGTCCTTTATACATTAATTCAGCTTCTTAGATTGGACTGTGGGCAAAAGCATCTAGTTCTTCCTTCAATGGGCTGCTGATTTTGGTCTGTGGAATGATGACGTTATGTTCTGGCCTCTGCCCATTTTTGTCAGTGTGAGAAAGGGGAGAAGGAGAACGAAAGATAAAATAACTAGAAGTTTGGGAGAGATATTAGATTCTTAAACAGAGTCATGGTCAAAGAGAGGTGATGGGAGCAGAACTGTTGTTTAGTGGTTAATTAAATTGAATGAAGACACTTGTGAAGCGTCTTTTGCCCTAGAGAGAGATTTAACATGGAACTGTTTATTTACTTACTTACTTACTTATTTATGTATTTAGAAGTAGTAGTAGCTGCAATGTCTGCAACATCAAATGGGGATCCTGATAGCCTTCAACAGCAGTAATGTCAGTGTGCCTGAGACATTTAACATGATGAAGGGATTCCCAAACCTGAAGGCTGCCCACTTTTAGATTTTTATCCTTTTTTGTGCCATGTACCCAGTGGGACTGGCTAGAAATGCTGCTCTCATCCTGGTCATTACCATGAACAGTGCCCTTCATGCATTCATGTATCTCTTCCTTTGCCTTCTCTCACTCACAGACCTGGCTCTCAGTTCTACCACTGTACCCAACATGTTGACCATTTTGTGGCTTCATGCTGGTGGGATTTCCTTTGGTGGATGTCTGGCCCTGATGTTCTGTGCTCATGTTATCTATGCTCTGGAGTCCTCAGTTCTTCTTGCCATGGCCTTTGATCGATATGTGGCTATCTAGAACCCATTAAGATACACCACCATTCTCAATGATACTGTCATAGGCAAAATTGCCCTTGGTGGAATAGTCCATATTATGGCTATTATCTCCCCTTTTGTTATCTTGCTGAGAAGACTTCCCTACTGTGGTCACCGTGTCATGTCACACACATACTATGATCATTTGGGCAGTGTTTGACTGGTCTGTGCCAATTTCATTGTCAGTATTGTCTATGGGCTGACTGTTACTCTGCTGGCCATGTGCCTGGATTCCATCCCCACTGCCATCTTCTGTGGCTTTATCCTCCATGCTGTCTTTTGTCTTCGAGTCCATAATGCCCTGTACATGTCTCTGAGTACCTGTGGTTGCCACCTTGGTGTCATTCTTATTTTCTACATTCCTATCTTATTTTTTTTCTCATCACCACTTGTCACCACTGAGTCCCCAAATGTATGGATGTGTTTCTGACTAATAATATCGCTGGTGCCTACTTTGCTAAACCCTATGGGGCTAGGAACTTGAGATTTGAAGTCACTTGAAAAATGATTTGGTTTTACCCATGAATCTGGAATAGAAGATGAGGAGAGTATAAGCGCTGTGGTGGATAGTTGATAGTTGATATATTTATGATTATGGGTGGAATGGAGAAGATCTATGTTGAAAACTATAGTACTTGTGTTCTAATCTTGGACATATTACTTGGACACTTAGGAACTCAGATTTCTTTACCATTATCTCATGTCTCATAACTTTATGCACTCATAAATATAGTACACAGGTGCATTCACTTTAAATATTGCTGTGGGAGACCAGAGTTCTGAATCCTGGTCCTGCTCCTTGTGCTATCTTCTTGTGTCACCAATCCTCACTTTCTTTCCAAAATAATGTGAGGATCACAGCAGGAGGTGATTAGAGTGAATGTGTTTGGTGGGGGGCTATATTGTAGGGTGGACTTTTTGGACAAATGAAGGCAGGACTTTAGAGGACAAGGCAAGGGGTGTACAAAGATGTGTTTTAGAGCAGAACAAAATTTACAAATGCATTGAGCACTAACTCCCACTCCCACCTCCAGTTTTTTTGTATGTTTTTCTCTTCCTAAAATTATTGTGCTACTGGGTCCCTTTAGCATTTACTGCGTTGAAAAGCAGAGGGCTTTCACTTTGTTGCTGTGTGTTCCTGCAGGCTAATATCCTAAGGAAAAAAACATGCATTAATTTGTTCATGTATTCACTAACTTATTCAACAGTTAACACCTACTATATTTCAGGCTTAGTCCCAAGGTCCCAAGTATAGTCAGATCACAAAGGAGGAAATCTTGTAAAGGCAATTTTTATCCAATGTCTTAAAAGGTGGGTCTGCATTTGCCAGGTGAACAAGCCAGAAGGTATCCCAAGTAGAAGAAATAGCATAAACAAACAACAAAGAACTTTAAATGTCTGGTGTGTTGAAAAACTATACCATCATTATGGCTGGGAGTTCATAATAAGAGCTGTACTTTATATATCTGTCTGGCATGTTTGAGAATATACCCTGAGGACAGCAGGGACCTTTGAAGGATTTAAGCAGGGAGTGGCATATTCTGATCTATTTTTAATCATAAATTTGAAGAATAAGATTGGAAATTAGCATGATTGATGGTAGGTAGATCAATAGAAAGACACAGTTGCAATCTTTTGGAAGAGGTGGTGGATTCTTCCTAAATGCAACTAAAGAAAACCATAACTGAAAATTTAACCTACATACAGATAGGCTGGCTTTCAGTTCCAGTAGCATCTGCTAAGTTTTACTCAGGCTACAATGCCTTATACACAGACTTACACAATATCTTTCCTGTGAAATACAGTAGCTTCCCACTGCCCATCTATGGAGGATATGTTTCAAAACCCCCAGAGGATGGCTGAAATAGTGGATAGTATTATATATTATCATATATGTGCTATGTTTTTTCTATATGTACCTATGATAAATCTTAATATGTGAATTGAACACAATAAGAGATCAACAATAATTAATAATAAAATAGTACAATCACAACATGTACTGTAATAAAAGTTATGTGAATGTTTAATTCTGGAATTTTCCCTTTAATATTTTCAAACTGCAGTTGGTTGTTGGTAACTGAAACTACAAAAAGGAAAAATCATGGATAAGGGTTGGAGGGGTTATTATACTAGAGTCAGAGTACAACTGCCTCAAGAATGGGTCTTCAGTCTGATGCCAAATTCTCTCACTCCTCACACATGCTGGATTACCAAAAGTCATATACCTTTTCCAGTTTGTAACACACATAGGTTCCCCTGATAAAAATCTTGAGAGAAACATCTGTTTCTAACTTTTCAGTCTCTAGAGCATCAGGAATGGAGAAAAAAAAAAAGATGATCTAACTTCAATTTCAGGTACTCTCTGTGTTATTTGAATGACCTTATATTGGTTGCTTGAACTGTTTATTCCAGTTTCCCTAGCTGGTAGAGGGAAGAAATGGTATTTGCAGTTTAGGGTTATTTTAAGGATTAAATAATCTAAATGAATCTCTTCTTCTGTGTCATTGCTATCTTAGACTTTCATTGTCATTATTCAACATGTTGGCATAATGAAGACATCATTTATTTATCATTAATTCAGCAAATAATATACTACCAGTAGGATCTTTAATATGTTTAAAATGATATTTATTGAGTACTATCAATTGTGTACAAGGCACAATGAAATGTTTACTGTGGTGAAGTTTGGTGAATCAATCCAAAAGAAATAGATCAACATTATAGATTATTTTAAGTCATTCAGATATAATGAAATCTAGCTTAACTTTATATACATAAGGATGATTAATCAAATACTATCAACTACCACTAACCTGTTTTGAATGATTTCTTTGCTTTGAACACTATAATAAGCACATTACTAAGGCCTAAGAGGCAATTTAATAGGATGCCCTAAGGCATTCTTATAGTTTATAGATTTTTTTTTTTAAAGCTAAGATTTAAGCCCATGGCCATCTGAATTCAGATCTCATATTCTTTTCATTATAAAATACCAGATAATGAAAGAGATATTGTTGACAAATGGCATAACCTTACACTGTTAGTATCTCTGAATCACAGGTACTTAATTCAAAATGCAGATAACAGTCATCTTTTTGAACAATTTAGGAGAGTATAAATGAACTTATTTATTTTAGAATGGAGATTACTAAAACATTACCATTAAGAAAGTAACTTGGATCCTGAGGTGGCTCCCTGTAACCTTAAGGGATAACTTTATGTTTAGTTAAAGAAAAGGGTCCTCAAAATGGAGGATGGAAGAACAATAAAAGAAAATACAGTTTTATTATGTTCTAATCATATCACAAGCACAGTATAAATATTATACAGTTGGTGTGTAATATAGTTATCACAATAACACTGTGAGGTGAGATGTTGTAAGAAAAGGTCTTAGATAAGTTAAATAACTTGACTAATAATATTTGTTTATTGTGTACTTTACATATTGGGCATTTTATTACTTTTTCTAAGTTGTTTATTTCTCACTACAATATTTAGAGTTAGATATTTATTACCTCATTTATAGTTGGCCACACCAGGGCACAGAAACAGTTAGCAACACACTCAAGGTTACAAAACTAGAGAAGGCAGGATTCAAACCCAACTACTCTGGCTTTATACTTTGTGTTTTTAAACTATACCTCAAATAGTGGAAGTCGTATTCAAATTCACTTCAAACATTCATTTTCTGTTTCACCTGGACCCACAGAATAATATTCATACCACCAAACCTAGCCTCCTCTCAAGATCTAGAATTGACTTGTTCTGTAGCAAGCCATATCTACTTTTGAGACAAGTATGAAAATATTATCACCTTTCTGGGTTTTTTAGAGTTTTCCATGGAGGAAACCATGACAAATCAGTCTTTTCACATTATAAGGTGTCCATTCACATAAATGCATCCAGGGAGCTATGGTGCTCACTTATTTTTCTTATCGCCAACTTTTGCTTAGCATTTATATTGAGATCTTCCCCAAATGAAGCAGTCTTAGAAGTCGACTACGAATCTCCTTGGTTCTGGCTCCATAGATAACAGGATTTAGCACAGGAGGCACCAGTACATAGAGGTTAGCCAGGAAGATGTGCACATGCTTAGGGACTCGGCGGTGACCAAAGCGATGGGTGAGGAATGAGAAGAAAGCAGGGATGTAGAAAACCAGGATAACACCAAGGTGGGAGCCACAGGTACTCAGAGCCTTATGCTGTGCATGACGGGATGGAAGATGAAAGACAGCATGGAGGATAAAGCCATAGGAGATGGCAATGAGGATGGAATCCAGGCCCATGGCCAGCAGAGCCACAGTCAGCCCATAGACAATATTGACAGTGATATTGGCACAGGCCAGTCGAGCAATGCCCATATGCTCACAGTATGTGTGTGTCATTACATGATGACCACAGTAGGGGAGTCTTCTCAGCAAGAAGATGAATGGGGAGACAATAGCAACACTACGGAATATCCCACCAAGGGCAATTTTGCCTATGACAGTATGGTTGAGAATGGTTGTGTATCTTAATGGGTTACAGATAGCCACATATCGATCAAAGGCCATAGCAAGAAGAATTGAGGATTCCAGAGCATAGATAGCATGAACACAGAACATCTGGGTCAGGCATCCACCAAAGGAAATCTCACCAGCATGGAGCCACAAAATGGCCAGCATCTTGGGCACAGTGGTAGAACTGAGAGCCAGGTCAGTAAGTGAGAGAAGGCAAAGGAAGAAGTACATGGGTGCATGAAGGGCATTGTCCATGCCAATGACCAGGATGAGTGCAGCATTTCCAGTCAGTGTTATAAGATACATGGCACAGAAAGGGATAGCAATCCAGAAGTGGGCAGCCTCCAGTCCTGGGATCCCAGTCAGGAAGAGAGTGTCTGGGAGACTGTTATCACTAATGTTGGAAGCGGACATACTTCTTGGAAAATGAAGAGCTCTAGCCAAGTGGTGATATTATGCTTGCCCTGTAACATCAGATATGATGTTGATTCGCATAAAATAAACAGCTTTCTGGGAAATAATTATTTTGAATGAGAAGAAATATTTGTTATTTTTACTTTTGAACAAATCTGGAAAGATTCTACCTCATATAATCCATTTCTTAAAGCTTCTGCTGAGTCCTATATTCAACAATGATGCTTTTGAGTTTTATATTCAAAGCACCAAGCTAAATATTTATTCATCTGTACAAATAAAACACTTCCAGACTTATATTCCACCACTTCCTGCACCAATAGTCCACCTACATCTAGGATATTCCTTGTCTCTTTTTCATTCATACCTTTTCTTCTACGTGGGGGGACTCATTTCTTTATTTTCCTTCTCTCCTCTAAGTTTCAGAGAAAGGTTTCTCACTTTTCAGAGGCCTTCCATTTTTATTCTTGTCCTTAGTGATCTTTATTATATTTTTCATTCTTACACTATCATATAAAGACATATTGGGATAGGATTCTGCCTTTAAGCAATACTCTATTTACTTTAATACTCTATTTACTTTAGCCTCTATATTTCTTGACTCTGTCTATACCTAGACATTTTGATCAATGCTCAATAAAGAATTCTGAAAATTCTTAGTAACAGTGATTTATATTGACTTTTTGACTTAATAGTGTATTCATGTTCTTTTCTTTGTTTGTAATGTATCTTCCCAAATATATACCAAATACCTTCTGTATATGTGTCACCTGAAGTGCCTAAAAAGAGGCGAGGCAATGTGAATATTCTTCCATATTTCATGATTATCTATTTACAGTGATTTGAGCACTCATATGGTTGTAGAAAGAAGTGTGAGATAAATCCGATAAGCATGTTGAGAAGACAACACTCTCAAGTATAGCAAAGCTAGTTCATCGTCTTATAAGTTCACCAGCATAACGGTTGGACTGAGGCCAGATCAGAATGCCAAGGGCCAATAGAGGCAGACAGAGGGAGAGAGGGGAGTGTCTTAGAGTCACTCGTAAAGATATGCTGGAGTGGGAGTTTGGTTTTGGTTTATAGAGATAGCTAGTATAATATACATTGTCTCTGTAACATGTGTTAAAAAAATTCTGAGGAGGAATACCAGGAAACCTGAATTTTTGTCCTGATTTTGCAACAAGATGTATGTGACACCTTGAATCAATGCCTCACTTCTCTGGGCAACCTCAATAAAGGAGGAGCAATGACTGTTATTATTCTCTACTTTTCTATCTGTTCAATTTGTAGCATTAGAATATATCCCCAAAACCTTTCTGTGCCTCAGTTTTCACTGAGTCTAAATTGCAATCAGAATATTTGCCCTAACTTCACAATATTCTTTGGCTGAGCAAAGGTTAATATTCATAGAAGTGTAAGTTTGGATGCCCCAAATCATTCTTTCAGTCATTTTTAAAATAAGGCTTTTTTTTTAAAATAACAACAACATACACTTTGAACAAAACAGAATATAATTATAATTTATACCCCTAAACAATCAGAAGAACAAATACAGAGACGTACACTGATATGATTTAGATAACCAGGTATATTACTTGCAAAAATGAAATTGAGTCTGTCTCCTAATTCAAAGTTTGGTGTTTTCACTTCTTTTTACTGTCCATTGATATCTCTAATACTCTAATACTAAATTCTTATCTCTTGCAAACAAGGCATTTTTTCTAATATCGAGTCCTAATGCTGCAATAGTTGTACTCATTTTCTGAACTCCAAAGAGGTAAAGTGAAATAGGACTAGAAAGATTGGAGTAAGAGCAGATTCCCCCACCCCACTTTGGGAAACAATGGGAAAAGGATATTGAACTGGAGTGCCACTCTAGTCCACAATGGAGGTACCCTCCAAAACTTGTCTCCAGGTTTTTTCTCTGAGTCACTTTGATCACAGAGTTCTTAAGGCCCACTTCTCAGACCTAGATGTCAATAAATTAACTCTGAACTCATTCACTGAATATTGCTGGGAAATTTGATTTCCAGTACTTACCTACATGAAAGACATGCATTGCAGGTGTAGTGTGCTGAGGTTGGAACTTTGTGAGAAGGTGTATTGTATAAATGTGAAGCTGTGTGGGTGACAGTGTGGTGGTACAGGACCTTGGGCAGGAGGCATACACCTGAATGCAATTTTTTTTTAAAGTATAGACTGTTTTTTTGCAGGTCCTGGGTGGGGGGGAGGGGGAGGTGGTGTGTGAAAGAGTGGAGGGTCTAAATGTGTAATCTGTGTTGAAATGCCTGATCCTTTCTCAGTCTTCTGGGATCATTGAATGTCTTCAGCTCTGCTTTGTATTTCAGCCTCCTCTGGTCAAGGTGCTTGTTAAGTGAGGTTATTTATTGACACTCTATGTGATGCTCAGGTGTGAAAACTCAGGAGGCCTCCTCTAGGGATTAGATCTATGGTGCATCTATTGAAGGAAAGAAAGAGAAGAAGCAGTTGATAATTGAAAAAAGAAAAATGCAGGGGAATTGTCTAGTGACTTTTCAAAGAAAGTGAAAATTAAACATCTAGTCTGTATGTGTTATCTTCCATATTGGTTTTTTTTCTCTTATTTTCTTTTCTTCTTTTTTTCCCTCCTCTTGTTACTTCTGGGCATTTCCTTGAATTTCCATTCATTGTGAGGACATAAGAATTCTGTGCTCATGGGGTATTGGGAAAGATTTATGTGAATGGTGCAGCAAATATGGTGGTAGACACACACACACACACACACACACACATACATACACACACACACACTCACACTCACTATTGTGCCATCAGACTTCACTTACTATACTCATGCTTAAAGATAAAAATATTAAGATAAAAAGATAAAAATATTAAGAATTTCATGACAAAGCATCAAGCAAAGCATAGGTCCCTTCTGAGTATGGCCCACTGCCCAGGCTGTATCCCATGCAGCCAGTCCTTTTCGGTAATGACATCAACACTTTAGCTAGAGTCACTAGAATTTTATGACATTAATCATTTATCAGGTCCTTACACCAAAGGTCATTTCTAAATAAGTTTCCTCCCAGGATTAATTTCTCCTTTTGATTTCGAAGTACTGCACTCTCTTTTCCTCTCAAACTGTTTAAAATCAGCAGTGGGCTTCAGAATTTTTGAATAGCTATTTCCTAAAAGAATTTTCAAAACAGTATATAATGTTTTAACAATTTTAAGTCGACATCAAAAATTGTCATTAAAAGTGTAAATAGAGAAAAAAATGTAATGTCTAGTATATTGTGAATACTGACACATTTTACAATAAAAATTTCATATCTTTCTATTAAATGTATCCTATGAGATCTTTATACTCTATAAATTTCCACCTTAACGTTGTCCATTTAAAAATATGTGAGCAAGTTTTTCTTAACTGTCAGAAATTTAATATTATAGATTTGTCTTAATAAAGTTGTTCCACTATCCCATATATACATTTTCTTACTTAAATTTGTCATCATGTTCACTTTATCTTACTTATAAATAATATACATACAATATAAAACATAAGTAAGAATTATTTGTTAATAATAGGCTTCAAATGTTAAAATGTTTGATTATTACAATTACTATAAGGATACATTAACAAAAGCTGCATGGGAATCTTTAAATTTTGTTAATTATTAAGTGAAGGCCTAATTATTTTGGAACTACATGTTTTAATGAGATTGATAGGACTTTTTTTCTTCCCAATTATTTTATGTCTCTATTCAAGCCAATATTGAGAGAATTACATAGACTTTACACTCAGTTATTCTTAATTTTACTTGTTAAAAAAAGTGAGCTCTGAGAACATTTGTATGTATTAATAACTTAGTTAGGAATGGAGGGACTTTTATTTATGCAATGTAGGAATTACAACATAATTGAGAGTGACTGCTGTAAACAGCAATAGTCTTAAGAGAGGCGGCGCCTGCTTATCTGAAACTCAAAGGAGGTATTCACAAAGTTGGGACCCAGGCCTCTGGAAAGAGGGTCCAGCCCAGTGGTGCTGGTGTAAATGAGGAAATATGATGAATTTGGTTAAAAATACGGGACAAATAAAAAATACAAAATAAAACCAACTGCTTCTATCAGAATCAACTACTCTTGCCAAGGAGAAAAACAAATGCTTGAGTGACAATGACAGAAATAAAATGTGAATAGAAAAATCAAATCTCTTATTCCTCTTCCAGCGTTCCAGTTGGACTCTAATGTCTCCTATTTTCAGAACCTAACAGGCAGCCAGCTGGCAGAGGAAAAATGTTGTCCCAGTATGGGCATCATAATACCCAATATAGAATGGTGCTTTTGGAACAGAGAGGTAGTAGCTTAATGCTGTGGAATCCTATTTTCTGTCAAGTTTATAGCTCAGTGCACTGATTCCCAGGTTCCTTGAAAGAAGCTATCTCCTGGTTGCTGCTATCTTGCAGCAGTGGTTCCATGTCCTAATCACTGCCCCATTCTGGCGTGTTGTTTAGGCTGCTGCTGCTATTGCTATATTTTTGAATTCTGCTGACTTTCTTGTATTCAGGAATGAATAAGGCAACCAGAAAAGATGTTAGAACTATGCATGTCTCAAGTATAAACAGCATGCTCAAGATGACAGCTTCCTGCAGGGCAGCATTGTTAGAATTCGGCTTCAGGCGCACTCTTTCAGTTTGACTTGGAGCATGTGAATTTAAAACCGTAAAGTACTGGCCCCAGTCCATTGCATAACTCTCTTTTTCCAGTTATGATTCCCTGGGCAACTTTTTGCTGATCTGACTGCCTTCCTAGAGATGAAGATACTGATTGCTGGAAAATGTGATATAGAATGTGAGGCTATGGTCCCTACTGCCCACATCATACAGGCTTGACATCCAAACTGGACCAGGCTATCTGGAACATCTAAAAGTCCAAACAAAGCAAAGGAGGATGGTATTCTTACTGCCTAATTATCTCAGAAAGATGTTAAGAAAACTGTCTGACCCATAGTAGACAGAATTCCTACCAAACTAC